GTATTTAGAATTTAAGGTTTAGGTGTTGATACTATTACTATATATCATCCCTGCTTCACACTTCCAATCCTTCGATTATTATCTATTACGAGAGTCGAACACTTTCGGCTCTAGTAACTAATTATTATGGTGTGTCTAAGAATTAGCATCCTTTTTATACATATACAAGTGATAATTCTATTTTGAACTACTTTAAAGAGAGATAAGAAAGTTTGAAACTTTAAATTCAGATGCAATAAATTGAAGATTAAGACACTAGCTAAGCACTATGGTAATCCACCATTTGCAAAGAAAAATAAATCCATACAATTGAGTAGCATATATAATTCCTACAAAAAAAAACTTTTGGAATAAACTGACTTTTATATGCATGCACACCTCAACAACCATGCAAGAAAGGACAGCATATGCATACAACTAACTATGCAAGAACCAAGAAGTTAAGGAGACATGAGAATAATTCAGACATTACTTTCCAAATATGCTGAGATCACAACTGTTATTTTATTTTTGTTATTTTGTTTATTATGAACAATATTCAATACTAATACTCTAAAAATATGGAAAATAAGGACTCAAAATTCTGTAAATTAAATATAAAAACTGTAATCAATAAGAGAATCCACCGTTTGATTTATTTTATCTTACATCATAATCCATCAACATCTAAAGGTTTCTTTTATGTGAAATGTGTGTGAGAAGCATTTTAGGAAGCTAGGTCATGATATGCATACATATCATTATCAATGAATATGTGTTTTTGTGTATGATTTTTGTATACGCGTGAAACTCGTTTCACACTCGGTCCAAAATACCAAGCTCCTTTCTCCACCAACTTCTCTATATATCTCTAATTAGTAGAAAAAACTTTTAAGCATTTTACACAATGAAATCTTCTTGTGTCATGTTATCGTGTTTTATACCAATAATTTGAACCGTCAATTGAATAAATTTGTACCTCGACGTGTAATGTTAGATTAATATTCTAATAACTTGGCATATTAGGCCATCTTCATCGGCTAGAGTGTAGGTTTATGTTTTAGCCTTCTAAAGTATCATATTTTAATGTGTAGTATTGTTTCCATCTCTAGCATTATACACTATTTGTTTTTTTAAGAGTAGAACGATATACTAACACTAAAGTTTGGGAGAATAAATTAGTTTCAAACTCCTCGTTCAAGATATTCGAACTTAAAAACTATCAATCATAAGTAAAGAAGAATACAACCAGACTGTAATACTATGTGGTTCTAGCAAAAATACACAATATTACTTACTTGACAGAAAGATAGAAGAATAGATAACTAGGGCTCCACAAAATGCTTTGTCAAAGGGTTAAATGCAACCCGTTTGAGGCTACAAGATGACTATTTGTAGCCAGCCCTGTTTGTTGATTAGGATATAACCTTCTTGGAGAAAAAAATTGCTTGTTTCCAGTTTAAAAATGACCTATAGTCCTGAATTAGGGACATATAGCGTATACATGATTAACAAAAGCAAACTATAATTACTTGTACGTAAACATTATTAACAAAAGAAGTTAAAAACCTTGTGCTTGTTTGACCTTGAGTTTGCGAACCAGTGAATGCCACTTCTTAGTTCAAACTATTCTCCTTTGGTTGGCCGATCCATAACATAAAAAAGCCAAGAACTATTTGAATATCTTTTTGAAGTAATGAACTATCTTTGACATTTTTGCTTGATTACTAGCACATGGGCCCCTGTGCCCTATGAAATTAAAAAACAAAATAGAAAAAAGGAAGATAATCGAATTATATGATTATTACGTAATACTCACCTAAGGTCATCGAGGTCCTGTGAGGTCGTATATTATTTAAATCCTTGGGTTAATTTGCCGGTAAATTAATTAATTAACCTTATATCATATTTGTTTCACCATAACAAAATAATAATCGCAATTAAAAAAAAAGAAAAAAACGGTTCATGCGTGAAACCCTTTCGTCTTCTTCCCCTACCGGTCTCTCTCCTCCATCCCCTCTCTCTCCCTCCTTCTTCGTCTAAGCTTTTTGTGTGAGCAGCAGTACAAATGGATTGTGTGTTTACAATGGAAGTTTCTTTTCAAATTATTGATTGCAAATTTTATGGAAGAGGAATTTGAAACAGAACCTGTACCTTAGAATGACCTAGGGAAAGCACATAACATTCCATTCGTTCCTACAGAGGAGGATCTGGATGGTGAAGAATTTGAAAAAAAATGATGGAAGAACAATAGGTTCGAGCTGTGTAACGTATGTGGAAGATAATTATGAGAACAAAAGGCTGGTTGATGTCACCATCTTGCCTACTGTTAAGGATCCAATCGCATGGAAAGTGATATGCATGGTGTGACATTGAATGTTATGTTACATATTTTTCCTTGGTAAAAAATTTAGACAGAGAGGGAAGGCGATGAAGAGAGGGGGATGAAGGAGAGAGAGACGGGTAGGGTAAGAAGACGGAAGGGTTTAAATTTCTCTAATGTCATTATTATTATTATTGTTTTCCTTTTATACTTAGATTTCTTCTTTCTCGTTTGTGTAGGGCTCTATCCAAAAAAATTATTTTCAAACACTAATATTAGTAATCACAAGTTCACAACCTGTCATTTAGATTATATTATATATCAACCAACGAACTTGTTTCTATAATTTTAAACTTGCAATCTTATCCTAATTTTTTTTCTTCATTATATCCCATAAACATGTAGGTCTAAACAAAAGAAATAACTTCTTTCTTATTAGTTGTAACGTGTGATCTAAACATCTATGTTTCTTCTAAATTTATATCTTTTTCACAAGTTAATGTATACGGTTTATGAGACATAGGTTGAATTATATAATTATATTAAGGATAAATTCGGTTTTTATTTCTTATTTTTCTATTTCAATTATTGAAACTAGATTCTTTTTTTTTCAATTTTTGATCTAGGTCATTTGACTTTTATCCATGTCATTATTTCAATAATAAGAAATTTACATATTAGCATATTTAAATTTTAGTATTAATAATTATTTCCATATATATATATATTTAAGGTTAAAAACGTTACATTTGGTGTGTGTGTGTGTATGGCTAAATATTGTATCATATATTTCTATTTTTAATTTTTACACATTTTTTTAATATGTACCAAAATTTATTTTGAAGTTTTAATTTGTACCCATATATTTAATTTATTTTTATGTCAATACTTTTAAACTTTTATTTATAGCAATAATTTTTAATCTTTTATTTATAGCAATAATGGTTTAATCTTTTATTTATACCCATAATTTATATATTATGTACCCATTTTTTTTATCAAAATTGGACTACTTTGTTATATGTAAAATGTACCTAATTTTTTATGTAAAATTTATTCACCCTTTTTATCTACAATGTACCCATATTTAAAAATAAAAATAAACCATTGTATTTTAAAAAATAGAAAATAAAAAATTGATCAGACTTCACACAATTCCAATTTGAGGAAACAAATTAAAAATCCCTATTTGCTATTAATCTGCATAATTTTATGAATTTTTTCCTTCTAATTTTCGTTATTAAATTTCTTAATTAATATCTAAGATTTGATCAACCAGAACTAGATCCAAAGTTTTCCTTATAATAATTACATTTAAAAATTAAAATATAACTTGTACTTCATATAGTTGTCAAATTGTAACTTATTTAGTTGGTTGATGCAAGGGTGTCTTCGAGTGAGATAGATTTGAGCTGGTGAAGCTTTTTTTCTTTGACCAAATGATGTTATCTACACTAACGGGGTGGGGAGTGGGGAGTGGGTAAGCTTCACAATAGGCTAGCGATAATATGATTCAAATTTATCTTTGATAAGAATTGAACATAAGACCTCTCACTTACAAATAAAAAAGAATATCATTAGACCGTAATACTAAGTGGCCGATGAAGCTTTTTAATCTTCTTGTTGAAGATGTCAATGTATGGTTCACATTAACAAATTATAAATAGTGATTATCATTTGAGGAAAAAAAACATGTATGAGAATATTGTGTGTATTTTACCTAGTAAATTAATAGAGATAAGAACACGAGAGATTACTTTTAAGAAAATATCTTATTTTTGGGCAAATAAGAGGAAAAAATAGGATTTCCACTTCTACATCACATAGTAAAAGACGAAAATTATAAATGTATACAGGATATTAATATTTAATACTCAAAATGCTTTTTTGGTTCGCAGATTTTACAAATCTGGCTTTCGATGAAATCTTGTTTCCAAAACCATGGGCATGAATCAAGATTTAATAGAAAGTTGGCATGCTTACTATCTTTCACCAAAGAAAGAAAATTGGCATGCTAAACTTTAGGCCAATTATTGTAAGTTTAGTCATTCATGCACGCATGTAATCATATAACGAAATGCCTTCTGAAAAAGCACTTCGATATTAAGATCCGTTAAACTTGCTAAATTCAATTGCTGTAAGTAGCGTTCGAGTCATTCCTCCTTACCAATACATCCTATCCATAATTACGTTGATAACCGTGCTATGTTATGCTCAACGCATCTATGACTGACAGTCCCAAAAATAACTCAAGCAGATAAAGACAAACAACCAACCAACCAATATAGAAATTAAAAAAAAAACTATTTTCTTACCAAAAATTAAAATAATTTGTAAAAAAAAAATCTAAAATCTAAAATTAATGAGAGAGCAAAGCAAGAAAGAAAGTGGTAGGAAAGAGACAAAAAGAGGTGCATTCCTTTGACTGTTTATTATATGCCATGTAAGTCCTACACGTGGTCGTCGCTTCGAACGCGTACGCCAGCCCACCTCCTATATAAACCCCGCCTATGCACTCGCTCCACCATTCAAATCAACCCACCAACAAATTAAAAACAAATATTTATTCAATCATTTTTTGTGAGTTTCCGGTTTTGCCCACAGAAGCCTCAGTCCCCGCTGTCCTTTCCTCTTCTCTCCTCCGCCGCTCGATCGCCGCCGGCGCATTTTAGCATCACCAACCGCGTCAACACATACGATGGACGTCCGAAGGCGATCGACGATGGATACACCTGCCACCAAGGCCAGAAGTGGGCCGATGAAGGTGAAAGTGGTGGACCACGAGGGCGACGTTGGTGTCGTCGGGGCCAAGGCCTCCGACGCCCTGCCGCTGCCGTTGTACCTGACTAACGCCGTCTTCTTCACTCTCTTCTTCTCCGTCGTCTACTTCCTCCTTACTCGTTGGCGCGAGAAGATCAGGACCTCGACGCCGCTCCACGTCGTGAACCTTTCCGAGATCGTCGCGATACTCGCGTTCGTCGCCTCCTTCATCTACTTGCTCGGATTCTTCGGGATCGATTTCGTGCAGTCGCTCATTCTCCGCCCCAGCAATGACGTCTGGGCCGCCGACGATGACGAGGAGGAGCACGAGCGCTTGATATTGAAGGACGACGCCCGGAAAGTGCCGTGTGGGGCCGGACTCGACTGCAGCCCAATTCCCCAAATTGCCCCTGTTGCTGCTGCCGCCCCCAAAGCTGTTGCACAGAAGGTGTTTGATAAAGAGGTAGTCCTCTCCACTCCCTGCGATTTCACCGCCCAGCCGTTGACGGAGGAAGATGAGGAGGTGGTCAAGTCCGTGGTGGCGGGAACCATCCCTTCCTACTCTCTGGAGTCAAAGCTCGGAGATTGCAGGAGGGCGGCGGCTATCAGGCGCGAGGCGCTTCAGAGGATCACAGGAAAGTCTCTGGGTGGTCTGCCATTGGAGGGGTTCGATTACGAGTCAATTCTGGGTCAGTGATGCCGAAGATGTTCAGTTTGGGTATGTTGCAGATTCCTTATGTCTCGATTGCAGAGCCTCTTATTCCAGAGAGTACCAATGGCCACCACCGAAGGTTGCCTTGGTTGCCAGCACCAACCGTGGCTTCAAAGCTATCAACTTGTCCGGCGGAGCCACCAGTGTGTTGCTGAGAGATGGGATGACCAGAGCACCTTGTGTGAGGTTCAACTCTGCTAAGAGAGCTGCCGAGTTGAAGTTCTACTTGGAAGAACCCAACAATTATGACACCTTGTCCACGGTTTTCAACAGGTAATTTCAACTTTTCTGTACTGATTTGTTTGATTACTTTGATGGGTTTGTTTCAGTAAAGCTTAAAGTTTGTTGCTTTTTATAATTTTTTGGGTTTTAAACTCTTAATTAATTCGGACTTGGGTTTGATTATTCAGGTCAAGCAGATTCGGTAGGCTTCAGACAATTAAGTGTGCCATTGCTGGGAAGAACTTGTACATGAGATTCACCTGCAGCACCGGTGATGCTATGGGGATGAACATGGTCTCCAAAGGTGTGCAAAACGTCTTGGATTTCCTCCAGAACGACTTCCCTGACATGGATGTGATTGGAATTTCCGGCAACTACTGCTCTGACAAGAAGCCCGCTGCGGTGAACTGGATTGAAGGCCGCGGAAAATCGGTGGTCTGTGAGGCTGTGATCAAGGGTGATGTGGTGCAGAAGGTGTTGAAAACCAATGTGGCGTCCCTGTGCGAGCTTAACATGCTCAAGAACCTTACTGGGTCTGCAATGGCTGGAGCCCTCGGTGGATTCAACGCACATGCCAGCAACATCGTCTCCGCCATCTACATCGCTACCGGCCAAGACCCAGCTCAGAATGTGGAGAGTTCTCACTGCATTACCATGATGGAACCCATCAATGATGGACAGGACCTTCACGTGTCTGTCACCATGCCTTCAATTGAGGTAATTTGATTGTCCCTTGATGTTTTTTACAGTGCTTGGGAATTGGAATATTGGGTTGTTCTTACATCGAGGTAATTTGATAGTACTAGTAAACATGAAGTCTTACATTGGTGTTTGATTATTTTGTCCAGGTTGGTACTGTTGGAGGTGGGACCCAACTTGCATCTCAATCAGCTTGTCTGAACCTTCTTGGAGTGAAGGGTGCTAACAGGGAGGCACCAGGATCAAACGCAAGATTGTTGGCCACTGTTGTGGCTGGTTCTGTTCTTGCTGGAGAGCTTTCTCTCATGTCTGCTATCTCAGCTGGACAGCTTGTGAATAGTCACATGAAATACAACAGATCAAGCAAAGATGTCTCAGCTGTTGCATCCGCTTAAGAACTTGAAGGGCTCTAACTTCTGAGGCTTGAAGAAGCCGAAGGTATGGCCGGAATATGTCTGAAAGAATAACGCTGACATGAATCAGTTGTTGATTTGGCATGGAGAGAAGAGGATAGGGAAATAATGAACAGAACAAACATACAGAAGGGCTTAGGAATGAAAGATTGTACTATTTGTATTTTTTTTTTCCTTTGTTTACCTTTTTTTTCTTTGTTAATCTGTAAGTTTTCATGCCTTGTATGGAACTCTTATGAGAAATTGTGTAAGATGATGATGAAAAGTTTTAGTAGCAATTTATATACTGCCGAAAGTTCTTCATATGGTGTCCACTTCTTTAATCTCTTCTGTTAAATTTCATACGGATTCAGATGCTAAAATTCAGAAAGAGAATTGTGTTCTTCATGTGAGTTGAAGTTTCTTGTGATGCTTGCTGGTGAAGTAAGACTTCTGTTATTAACTCCCAGCCAAATGAACTCGTGACTCTTCCCGGCCCCAGGAGGTGTACTGTCGTGACTAAGCCTAAGCCATCGATTGGTTCATTTTTTTTTTAAAGAAAAAATGAACTCATGTAAGTTTTTTTTCTTTTGATTTTTTTAAGAAAATGACTTGCCTACACCCATCAGGACGCTAATATGATGTGTCGGACCTGTAATACAACGGTGTATTTTAACTTAGCGACTTCTGGAGGTGTATGCAAGTCTTTCTTCTATTTATGCGATCTCTTTTATGATTGGTGTGTTATGTGCATTGCTATTTTCACGTGCTTGTTAAAAAAATGGTTTCTCTTTTTTGTGTTTGCTTTAATACGGATTTGGATCAACATCAATGACGATGATGCTTTCTGGTTGATTGTATGTCTTTGTTTTCCCTCTATTTTTAGGCTGTCAACTATGCATGCATGTTGATTACTTTTTTTTGTTCAAATGCAGATGGCTTGTGAATAATCTTTTTTTTTTTTACTACTAACTTTTTTAGGCTTTTTTCTTTTGAAGTATTCATTTTCTTTTGTCCAAAACGAGATTATAGTGGCATTTTAGGATTCATTCAGCCACCCCACTTAGTAAGATAAGGCTTTGTTGCTGTTGTTGTTCATTTTCTTTTGTCGGTTTAGCATACGGAGAGTACAAGACAGCAAATATTTTGAAGAACAAGGAGAGAGAGATTAGTGGCCTAATAATAATTTAGGTAACCAATAATCGAGATTAGCGGGGAAGCTCACATGTGTGGAGTCTTTGAGTATCTTGGAAGTTAGGATCTTCAAGGTTTAGTTTTGTGGTAGATTTTTATGCAATATTATATTTCAGCTGCATTATATTTATATATGAATCTTTGATGAAGCTTTCCTGGATCCAGATCATTGTTATGCTGCATATAATTTGCTTTTTCACTTTATGATGTGTTCGCATGTGTTCATGCTGAAGCCAACCTGAGTTCGAATGATTTTGTTCGATCTTCAATCTCCTGTTGTTGCAGGAATATAATTATAGTCTTTTGGTGAACTTTAGATGAAAGATCAGGTATTCACATTATTTTTGGCATCTCACATACTTTGCTTTAATATTTACTATTGGATTGAATAAGTCAAATGAAAATAGCGAACAAAATTAAAATAGAGTGTATAGAAAAGGTGGAAAAAAATGTGTTTTATCAAATTTCTTTTATTTTTTTTATATTTTTTTATGTTTTCTCTTATTATATATCGCATTAGATTAAATATATCAAAAAGAATTTAAGAATATAAACTCATTTTACTGGTAAGACAATCTTTTGCAATATTCTCATTTTTGTTGGCTTTTTGTGGAGATTTTGGGATAGAAACCTCTAAGACGTAGACTAGGATGCATGCATGCATCTATTTGCCTCCTCCCTGTGTATGAACACGAGGAAGAAAGAATCAAGTGACCAATTAGAATTAGAATTTGGTTACCAACAGCTGTCTGCACATGTTAGTCACTGTCAGTCCTTATTATACACTCAAGACAATTGTCAGCCGCTAATACATTACGAGACTCGTCTGTGCATCAATAATGCGTGTAATGTTCATTGTTAGCATCATTTTAATAAGAGTAGTGCTATCTAAACACTAATTTTTACTTTTGATAAGTTAGTAGACGGTCTCTAGTTACTAATGTTTATTGTTTAAGACCTTATCAGTTTTTAGATTTTGATTGAAGTTCCTAACATTAAAGTTTTAATGAATTACATGTCACTTACATAATTTTTAAAAATAAAAATTGGTAATTGATTTAAGATTCTAATACTCACTGTCACATCCCAGCCTGGATTCCCACCACATCCTGGGCTCAACTCTACCGTAGCACGATATTGTCCGTTTTAGGCCTTAACCACGCCCTCACGGTTTTGTTTCTGGGAAGTTCTGGACTCTCACCACATCCTGGGCTTGACTCTACCGTAGCACAATATTGTCTGTTTTAGGCCCTGACCATGCCCTCACGGTTTTGTTTCTGGGAAGTCACGCGAGCAGAACTTCCCAGTGGGTCATCCATCCTGGGAATGCTCTGGCCCATTTCTTGCTTAACTTCGGAGTTCCTACGGAACCCAAAGCCAGTGAGCTCCCAAAAGGTCTCGTGCCAGGTAAAGATGAAAATATACATATAAGGCTTACATGATCCACTCCCCTAGACGATGTGGGATGTTACACTCACACTCTTATTAAAAACTCCTAATTAATTTTCAATTCAAAACATTTCCAAAATTAAAAATAATAATAATTAGAATAAGTTTGTACCCATTAATTTTTGGGAAGTTTTATTTGAACACATACTATCTCTTTCTACACCCAACTTACTTTTTACACCCATATTATTTTTAATTAAAGAATCAATCTCTCCTTAAACTCAAATTTACCATCTAAACTACCCTCACAAACTTAATTCAATATATAAAAATTCATCTTTACACCCATTTATAAAATAAAATCCGAAATAAGTGAATGAAGAATTAAGATTTTGTCATGGCAACAAATGGTTATAGATGAATTAATCAGCAACATCAATTTGTATTTTAAACTTTTTTGACGTCAGTTTGGAGTGCAGGGTTGTTAGGAAATGATCTTCGCCAAGCTCTTAATAAAGTAGTCCAAGTAGCTAGCATGAATGTGATTCATGGAATTGAGTGATGAATTTGTAATTTAAGATTAAACAGTTCAGTAGCTGCTAGGTAAGCAATTGAACTAGTACTTTTGGAATTTGAATCATGTAAAATTATGTGGACACCTTTGTGAAAGTAAATTTTAGTAGAACTTATATTATTTTCTTAAAGGATCATGGCAATAATTTTTATTTGAGCAATATATGCTGCTTTTACAAGCATACATAGTTGAATGAAGTAGAACTAAACAAATAGCGAGAAGAGAACTCATACTTTAAACATGCACTTGTAATGGCATGGAAAACATTTCGATGTGTTGAAAGCTTTTTGTTGTTTCTTGTGGTGATATTGCTTGTAATTATTGCTCTTCCTGAATGAGTTAACATGAAGCTAGAGAGGAAACGAAAAGCAACCAAATTTGATTATTAAGTGATCGTAGGGTTTTATGGCAGCTCTTAGGAATTTAGTCATAATGAACGTAGAATAAAGATTGTGTGATGATAGAACTTGATTATTGAGTATGAGTTTATTGATAAATTTTAGTTTTATTCTTAATTTCATCTTGTACTTGATGGTAATTATGCAATAGGATAAAATAGACAATTCACATTTATAATTTAAGTTGGGGGTAGAAAGAGATTAGATGTGTTCAAATAAAATTTCCCTTAATTTTTTTATAAAAAGAATTTTCAATTTTCAATCTTAAATGTACCCATTCATATAATTTTTCAATTTTTTCTAATATTAAATGTACCTTTTCTTAAATATACCAATTTGTTATATATAAAATGTACCATTTTTAAAATATAAAATGTACTCAATTTTTTAATATAAAATCCATTCAATTTTTAAACTTATATGGGTACATTCTATGTCGTTGATTTGAGAATGTATCCGTGTCAAGTTTAATGGAGGAAATTTAATAATGTTATTAAGCTTAATATCTATCAGCTTTTTTTATTTATTTTTATTTTAATTTTTTTGTGTTTTGCGTTTTTTGAAAAATGTACCCATGTTTTGGTACAATAATTTTGTTGGTTAGTTTTGATGAACGTACCCATATATATATATATATATTGGAGCCTTGTAATTTATTCTTAATATTTTTAATCCCATAAATCATGAGTTTTATTTAAAATCTCATTAATATAAACAACTACAAATTTTATTTATTAACTTGAAAATATAATAACCAACATGTAAACACATTATTACTTTAATGTCAAGGACTTCGATCGAAAACTGAAAACCACCAAGGTTTCAGTCAAAGAACGTTGGTAGTTAGAGACTGCATCTAAAGTGTCCCTTTTACTTTTTACCCCTTTCAATTTTCGGCTATCAGATTAGATGAAATGAAAAAGATCAATAGACAAACATTAACAAAATTGTGTGAAACATAAAAATAAGTACCTGAATAAAACTATCCTTCTAACCATTATTAAGTAGTGCAATAAGATTGTTGTTGGGATTGTTGGAAATGTCAGCCGTGGCTGCTGCGGGCGAGAAAGTTGACTTGATTAAATCATCGAAGTAGGTTGGCTTGCCAATTTAGACCAAAACCTAATTGCAGTTTGTTTATGCAGGCAATATATCGGCAACCACCGTTAAGGCATTGACTACAACTTCATCTACTCTGTGCCTTTCACTTTTTAAAATGATCAATCTTTCGTTTTCATTGTGCTTGCGTAGTGATGTTGCATTGTTACCTCTTTGTTAGGGACAAGTAATGAGACAAGAGGAGGACTTTAATTGCAGTCTGAACATATGGTTGCATATATATTCAGCATCTATATATTCAATATATATGGACTGGTCTATTCTGAGCTTATGGTGGTTGGTGAAGATTATAAAAATCTGCATTTCACATCTCAATTATTTGAAGTTCTGCATACGACTAGTACAGTACGTATATTGTTCAATCATCGCTTGACAGGTTGATCACGTCATTCGTTATTTTAAGATATAATTATTTTCGTATATGCAAGAATTTCTCCTCAAATACTTCATTTGCTTGGAAATTAGGTGTTTAATTACTAGCATCAGAAGAAGCTAGCCACACGAAAACCTAGATCTGATTTTATCATGTCTGATATGTGATCTTGTAGTTGGATCCTAAGATTTTTATGCTTATTTTCTTGTAAGTGATACCCACAAACAATTAGCATCACAGAACTAAATATCTTGAATCATTATCCTTTTATAAATATTGGAATCTGGAGGAATCAGTAGTGGGTTGCATGATGAACAGCTTCCAGTACTTGATCCATGAAAAGTGCTTTTATTATTTCCTCTGACAAATCATATATTAAAGTCAAGATTTACTAGGTTGGTGCATTTTAGACTCAAGAGGCAAGATTTGTTAGGTTGATATGCATAATAAATTGCACATGACATAAAATTATAGGCATTTTAACTAAAATAGTATTTTAAGATTGACATAACTCATCATTTTGGTCTTTGAGATTTGAAATCAACATGAGTTGTTCTTGAGTTTGTCTACTGTCAATCGTTTTGGTCATTCCATGAAAAATCTTTGTTAAATAAAGACTAAAATGATTGATGATGGACAAACTTAGAGACCAATTCTTTCGAATTTAAATCTTAGGGATCAAAGTAAAGAATTATGTCAATCTCAATGATTATTTTTAACAAAATCTCTCTTCAACTTTCACTCAAGTGTAGAGAACAGTAACTTTTATTAAACTGAACGCTCTTACAACCACCAATGTTTTTGTTACAAGCCTAAAACCTCTTTGTCAACCAAAAGATAGCGAAAAATCATTTTTGTCTTCTATCACAAAATAAAATTATAGACAACAAAGTAATTTTGCACAAACTAAATTCTACAGTTTTTTAAAACTTCACCTATATGTGATCTTAACAAACTCTAATTTAAAAAATAAAGATAAAAACAAAAACTCATCATCTTTTCCACGTTCTCTCTTTCTTTCCGTCTCTCCTCAGTTTTTTTAGAACAAAAGATATTATCTACACTAAGAGAGTAAAAGGGTGGACTAAGCCTTACATTAGGCTAGCAATAATGTAATTGAAAATCGCATTTGACAGAAACTAAACCTAAAACCTCTCATTTTCAATTTAAAAACAACATAAAAAAATATCCACCCGCAAAGTGTAGGGACATCTGCTAGTAGTAACTAATACAACCAGTAAAGCAACAAACCCAATAGCTCAATTAAATCTCACAAATAATTGGCACATGTCAGTTAGGATGATGCCATATGACATCATATTACTCATGAAATTATCTTTCTTTTTTTTAAGGGTAAGGCTGGTGGCAGGTAATCCTTGCGTGGCTGAGGCTGAGGGCACTATCTTGCCTTATGAGACTTTTAAACATTCGCTTAGTTTCTCCCTGTCTAGCAAGTTACATGCACCAAAAGATACATGCTATATGCAAATGTTGCTTTCCCGTAGTGATGAAAAATAAAATTACGTTTATACACTTTATGTGGGTTCGATTCTCATCGATATTTCTTCCTCCTAATAACTAATAATTTAACTCAATAACGTTGTGGTTTATGGAAAAAAGAAAAAGAAAAAAAAACTATGTGCTATACATCCAATAATTAAAGGATAAGTAATGAAACTAGTTTCAAAACTTTGAATCTTAATAAAAAACCAGATAATAAGTTTATTTAATTATTAGGACAAAGTACAACATCAAACCAACCCAATAAGACTAGCCCAAGGAATGAGTTTCCAGTTATACCCCTAACAGCAAACCCCTTCACGTCAGATCCTCTCTCTATTTCTCAATCTTTCCACCTAATCCCTATTTCTCGATTTTCATTCTCAATCTCTCTGCCTAAGTCAGAAAATAAATTTAATGTCATTAACTTGTGTAATAAATACCTCATTGGGATTTTTGATATCCACCTTGTTTCATGCTACAAATTGCATCTGCATTCGTGATTGATCACCGCACCGGCATATATCATACTTCCACAGTGGGTGGCTTAATGGATACGATCTGGTTTTTTGTTGATTCGCTTTTCGTTTGTAGTTATGGCATGTAATCTCTTTATTAATATATTTTGTCTCCGCTCCTACATTGTTCTACTCGAAAGCCTCATCCAATCCTTCATCGTTAAAAATGAAAAATTGTTGTGAACCGTGTGGTAGGAGGAAGAAAGGCACATGGAATGACATAAAATGTTAACCAAGACAAGGAAAAAGACAACCTATTTAAAATTATTTAGCTTTGTTTTCATGTTGTGTACGATTCCATCTGCATTTGTTCCGTATCCTTCCCATCACCTTTTCTATATCCTTATTCATCCCTCTTGTTCATGTAAGTCTCTATTTCTAGCAAGAAAATAAAAACCAAAAACTAAAAATCTATGTTAGGTTTTAGTTTCATTTTCCTTACAGCTTAATTGACTTTACCCATCACATTTCCTATATTATTGAGATGGCCCACACTATTTCTAGAACTATAACAAAATAACCCACACTGTTTATGAAACTTAACCAAAATAACTCACATTATTTTTGGAATTAAAGCAAACTAACCCAAACTATTTCTGGAATTAAACAAAATAACCCACTCTATTTATGAAACTGAATCAAAATAATCCGCATTATTTCTGGAACTATAACAAAATAACCCACACTGTTTATGAAACTGAACCAAAATAACTCACACTATTTATGGAACTATCGCAAACTAACCCACATTATTTCTGGAACTGTAATAAAATAACCCACACTATTTATGAAACTGAATCAAAATAACTCACACTAGTTTTGAAACTATAACAAAACAACCCACACTATATATGAAACTAAATCAAAATAACCTATACTATTTCTGGAACTATAACAAAATAATCCACATTGTTTATGGAACTGAACCAAAATAACTCACACTATTTTGGAACTATCGCAACCATTTCTGGAACTATAACAAAATAACTCACACTATTTATAAAACTGAATAAAAATAACTTACACTATTTTTGGAACTATAACAAAATTACCCCCACTGTTTATGAAACTGAATCAAAATAACCCCCACTATTTATAAAACTGAATCAAAGTAACCCACACTATTTTTGGAACTATAAGGTACCGTTTGGTACGCAGACGGGACAGGATGGAACAAAATGGGACGGGACAGGACGGGACGGAGGTTCCGTGTTATGTTTTGTACGCGCAGGATGAAACGAGACGATTGTTCCGTTTTGCGTTTGGTACGCCCTCGACGGAACTGAACCCAAAGATTGAATGACTAACTTACCTATGTTTTGTCTGTTGTTTGGTACAATGTTTATGCGTGGGACGGGAGGAGACATTTTTTTTTTTTTTGAACTTGTTCATATTTGAACACATATAACAATACCATGATTATCTTTTGTAGATTGTTGAAGAAGCAAAACGAAAAACAATGGCAGAGAATTTAGAAAGAGAAAGTGAATGACTAAAAATTGTATTACTTGAACAATGAATGAATTACAGAGGGAGAGAGGTGTTTGTTATTTATACAAGTATTCTTTGCTTCACTCATAAGCTACTAACCAACTAACTTATCCCTACAATCCCAACAGAACTAATGTGCTGCAACAACATACATGGAGACCCATAAAACGAAAAGCAAAGAGCATTGGTAAGTAATAATAAACAGAAAAACTACACAAATCAAAATCAGAAAAGTTTGCTTCTATTTCCCTTTCAAACCAGTTCTCCAAATCTCTTTCATATTGCCTAAAGAACAAAGGTAATGTGGTTTGTTGATTCACATAGCCTTCAAAAAAGGAGCCATCGTACTCTTGATTGGGAGATATAGCAACAAAAAAGGAATCCCAGAAATACACAGGTACCCATTGAGCGTGAGCATTGTATAATTGTATAGTCTACGAGTTCAAGTTGAGGCATATAAGCTCACTAAACATGCAACTTCCACAAGATTTCTCAATTCATTCAGGCAAATTTTCAAACACAAATTGCCCACATGGAGCTGCAAGGATTTCTCAAATACGGTCAAGCCTCTAGCTGGAAATAAAAATGCATGCAAGCCAGATTGTATTAGAAATTAAAGTTGGTATATGACCAATTCAGAAAATCTGCCTCGTACAGAAAACCCAATTTCCCAACTTGGCTTATTTAATTCCTCAAATAAGGTTAAAAACCTTAAATTCTTCAAATAGATGAATAGACAAGAGAAATTAAAATGCAAGGTAGCTTATGAGGTGTCCCTTATTTGGAAACTGCTGCAAGCCTTAGCAAGATCAAGTGCAGAAAGACTAATGGTCTATGAAGAGATGTACTAACCAAAACACCACAACTTGAGAAATTCGTTAACTTGAGCCCATAATGGATTCAATATATAGGAGAAACAACCATTATAGATCAGATTTTTGAAAACTAGGGGGCTATGGTCACATCACACCAGATTCAAGATAGTAATAAAAAGAAACCTTGCACATGGTCGAAACTGCTTAATTTTAACATTTTAAACCTTTTCAAGAACTTAGAGCCTTCAAATTCTTCCATTTGACAATCTTTTGGCTGCCATGAAACCTTCTCATATGAAAAATCCGTGCGTTGTGTCATTCGGCAAGACCACATACTTGACAGTCATTACTTACAACCATGCCCATAATACAGCGGCTTCTTATGGTCCAACAACCCATTTTCCTTTCACATAATTGCAAACTGAAGCTATTATCAGATAAATAACAATCATTTCCCAGAAAAATTGAAATTTTCAATGGAAGAAAACGAAAAAGTAAAACCTAATCGAAAAAGTAAAATTAAAAGATCTATAGAGATCAATATCGAACCTGGAAGATGCAGCGGCTATAGAAGAAGATCGAGATCGAACCTGGAGATGCAGCTGTTACAGGAGAAGATCGAGATCGAGATCGAAGATGGAGATGCAGCTGCTACGAGAGAGGATGAGGGGGAAGGCTAAGGGAAAAGGCAGCGGCAGAGAAAAAGATGGGACAAAGATAAAGAGGAACCGCCGTGAACTCCCCAGAACGTGGGTCTGTGGTGGAGGGAGCGTTGAGGTCGAGGAAGATGCAACTGGGTTTGTGGTGGAGGAGGAGGAGGCTACCGAAGAGAGAGAGGGTAGAAGAGAGAAAGGATACGGGGAGAGAGAGGGAGTGTGATAGTGGAATTAAAGAAAAATAGTAAGGGTATTGTTGTCTGAAAAAATTATAATTTTGTGTTCCACGAGTGTGGAACGAGTCGTTTCAGGGGGAAGGTGGAACGAAAAAGTAACCAAATTTCATTTCGCGGAACAGTGTGTTCCATTGTTTTTTGCGCATCAAACGTGGGATGGAACAACTCGTCTCATTGCGTTCCTTCACGTCCCACGTACCAAACGGTAAATAATCCACACTATTTATGAAACTGAACTAAAGTAACCCACACTAGTTCTGGAACTATGGCAAAATAGCCTACACTTTTTAAAACAGAACCAAAATAATTCACACTATTTATGGAACTATAGCAAAATAACTCACACTATTTATGAAACTAAACCAAGATAATCCACATTAACTATAGCAAAATAACCCACATTATTTATGAAACTGAACCAAAATAATTCACATTTTTTTTAAAATTTTATATAATATAATTAATTCCAAAACAAACTTTGAATTGAGAAAGTTATTGAACTAGATATAAGAGTGATCATAAAAATGACAAACAGCCGCAGAACCTCTGCAACCAAATTCACTTTTTGACGAATTTGGTGAAGAAGATGTCAAATGTCTTGTATGACTGAAGCAAATCTCTAAGGAATCTAAACATGTTTCTTTATGGCCTGAACAATGATCTTGAAAGGAAATCACCCAACTATAATAGTGTGACCATTTAAATTTCTAACTAGGAAACCCAAGCTGCCTCACCATTAAAATTAGTTTTGACATTAACGCCAACAATCAGTATAGACTTTTTCCAGCAAAGGGGAAAAACAATAAAGACTTTCTAAAATAATAAAGGAGAAACATTGTTCCATATTTGAATAACCCAAAAATGAAATCAGTTTGATTTTACTTCTCTTTTTCCTTCACCCATGTTGGGTTTTACTTCCCTTTCATGAGGAAGGGGGGATGACAAGAGGGGAAAAAAAAAAAAAGACACAAAAAATAAGAGAGAAGGAATTGGCTGATAAAATGGCATACTTGTAAATAAAGAGAAGTTTATTTCTAATAGAAATGGTTGATAGGATGAGATTTCTGCTGGGGGCAAGGGTGGAAAAATTATTTATTTCGTTTTGGACTTTTAATTCAGCCCATGTATGTTAAATGTTTGTGAGACACCCTAAAATCGATTAGTTTTGTCCTTATGATTAAATGTGCAACCTTTTTAATTAAATAATAGTATATGATGATTTTTGGTTAAATTAAACTTAATCCAAACCCTTTTTGTTATAGCTCTCAATAATTAAACCACGACTTAGCTATTCTTTTTCTTCTTACAGAGGAGATGAACTTACATCAAATGAGTTCATTGTTACTGTACTGTCCTAGTCCATTAATCTAGACCATGTACAAGTCTCCTGTTACAGAGTGTTACATTATTGGACTAATATGTCATGGTATCGATTAACTTGTTTCACATAAGTTGCCATTTTTATAGAAAAAGTAATGTATATCATGTACCATATTGCAGGTAGGGCAACATGTGAAAGTATTTCGTTATTGATAGTGTTGTCTAACGACTTTATGGATCTTGTTGTCGATGGATGAATACACGAACAACTAATCTTCTGCACAGAAAACGACCAAACAACTACAACAAATTTGGCTGGATTTTGTGGGGATTTTTAGCTCATCCGAGGGTGAGGTAGTTGGTGCTATTGCATCAAACACAAAATCTGTAAGGCGACGTCTGTTGATTATTATAATTATTTTTATTTTAAAGATTCAAAATTTATTATTATTTTATTTTATTTATTTTTAATATTTAAGAGTTGTGTTTTATTTGAAGAGTCATAATCTTTTTCTAAAAGTGTATGAGAAGTTCTTTAAATATGAAACCTCAGACACAAAACAAATATGCTTAAAACTTCTCTGTCTCCCTCAATTCTCACTATGTCGATCTATTTACATTCATACTTCATAATTCTTGGGCAATTGATTACTACTTGGTAATCCCATCTGCGGTTGACGTGCATATCAGATCAGGCATTCTGTGAGGCTTTGGGTTGTATCTTAGAGTTGTAGGCACTGCCATAACCTGCACGTAGGGAGGCGTCTACGATTTTAGGACAACGACATCGTACCTGTCTTTGGTTCACATGCCATATTTTCTTATTACTTTTTCCCAATTTAAATTTCATAAGTTTTTTTTTTTTTTTGAAAGGATTAAATTTCATAAGTTTGATAGTGATTATACATTTGATTTGATATATTTGATCATATAAATAATTGATATATTTATGTAATATATTTCACAATCTAAAACCATAAAAGTGTGATAATATAATTGCAAATTTTACATTATGTTTTCCCAATGCTCTGAAAGCCTAATAATTATAGTGTTTCATGTCGTTGAACTTTCTGGGAATGCGTCTTTGACTGTCTGCGTTTTTTTTTAATTTATTGGGTCCTGTGGCTGAAAGCTTGGGAAGGCTAACCTTTCCCTTCTTTTCATTGTTTTTCTGACCGTGCCGTTCTTTCATTATTTTTATACTTTTTGCATTTTTTATTTTTTATTTTTTTCAATACAAAAACGTTTTTGGATACAGTTTCTAAATGACATAGCTGATCAATTTAAAATACCAGTTAATAACCCACAAAACCCAACGCGAATCCTTATGAAAATGAATCCAGAACAAAATCGCGCTAAAGCTAGGGCGTCACCCGTAAGTGGCGCGCTGTGTGGCCCGAGCACAGTGATAAGTGAGCAAGGGTCGCTGTATCTCCATCGGCACCCGGATGCAGTGTTAAATGAGCAAGGGGGCCATAGAAACTTCTTTTCGAACGACTCCACTCAAAGTTGTTTGGGAGCATATGCTCCTATCAACTTTACCCGGGACACACAAAAGAAGTACTTTGATCCTATTAGACGGGGGAGGGTGAAGAAGCTAGGACAGAAGGGTAGAGTTCAAGAGAGCAAAATGCGTTTAGGAACGTGGAATATAGGAACCTTAACGGGAAAATCTATGGAAGTAGTGGAAGTTATGGTGAGGAGAAGGATAAATATTATGTGCCTACAAGAAACTAAGTGGGTTGGTAGTAAGGCAAAGGATCTAGAAAACTCAGGGTTTAAACTTTGGTATTCGGGCACACAAATAGAACGAGAAACGGTGTTGGCATCATCGTGGACAAGACCTTGGTACAAGATGTTGTAGATGTCAAGAGGGTAGGAGATAGAATCATGGCAATCAAGATTGTAATAGGACAAGAACTTATCAATGTGATTAGTGCGTACGCACCTCAAGTAGGGTTGGATACGAGTTCGAAGGAGAAATTTTGGGAAGATCTTGGAGACTTGGTGCAAGGAATTGGTCAGACGGAGAAGTTATTTATAGGAGGAGATTTAAATGGACACGTGGGCAGAGAGACAGGCAACTATGGAGGTTTTCATGGTGGCCATGGTTTTGGGGAGAGAAACGAGGATGGGGAAGCTATCTTGGATTTTGCAATGGCATATGATCTCTTCTTAGCCAACACCTTCTTTAAGAAGAGAGAAGAACATGTGATCACCTACAAGAGTGGGTCGTCAAAAAACACAAATAGATTTTCTTCTAATGAGGAAAGGGGATCGTATAACTTGTAAGGATTGCAAAGTTATACCAGGAGAGAGCGTGGCTAATCAACATCGCTTGTTGGTGATGGATGTACATATCAAAAAGAGTAAGACAAAAGAACAAGACTTGGAAGTGCCCAAGGACTAGATGGTGGAATCTAAAAGAAGAAAAACAAGCCATTTTCAAAGAGAAGGTAATCACCCAATGTGTGTGGGATAGAGAGGGGGAAGCTAGCCAAATGTGGGATTCCATGGCTAGTTGTATCCGAAAAGTAGCAAAAGAGGTATTAGGGAGAGTCCAAGGGCTTTGCCCCACACCAAAAGGAATCTTGGTGGTGGAATGAGGAGGTACAAACAAAGGTGAAGGCTAAGAAGGAATGTTGTAAAGCCTTATACAAGGAGATGACCGATGAAAATGGTGAAAGGTATAGAAAAGCGAAGCAAGAGGCGAAGAAAGCTGTCAGAGAAGCTAAGTTAGCGGCTTACGACGATATGTATAAACGACTAGATACCAAAGAAGGAGAGTTGGATATCTATAAACTATCTAGAGCAAGGGAAAAGAAGACAAGGGACCTAAACCAAGTGAGGTGCATCAAGGATGAGGATGGAAAGGTTCTTGCTACAGAGAACGCGGTTAAAGACAGATGGAGAGGTTATTTTCATAATCTTCTTCAATGAAGGACATGAAATGAGTGCTTCTTTAGGGGAGTTGAGTAACTCAGAAGAGTGTAGAAACTACTTTTTTTATCGTCGAATCCGGAAGGAAGAAGTGGTTGTAGCTTTGAAGAAGATGAAGCATAAAAAAGCAATAGGCCCAGACGATATACCAATCGAAGTGTGGAAACTTTTGGGAGAGACAGGTATAACATGGCTCACTGACCTTTTCAATAGGATTTTGAAAACGAAGAAGATGCCAAATGAGTGGCGAACGAGCACTTTGGTGCCTATCTACAAGAATAAAGGCGACGTACAAAATTGCATGAACTATAGGGGTATTAAGCTAATGAGTCATACAATGAAGCTCTGGGAGAGAGTCATTGAGCATAGATTGAGGCAAGAGACACGGGTTTCGGACAACCAATTCGGGTTCATGCCAGGGCGCTCAACCATGGAGGCAATCTATTTCTTACGAAGATTGATGGAAAGATATAGAGATGGAAAAAAGGATTTACACATGGTCTTTATAGATTTGGAAAAAGCGTATGATAGGATCCCAAGAGACATTCTTTGGAGGATTTTAGAGAAGAAAGGAGTACGAGTAACATATATCCAAGCTATAAAGGATATGTATGAAGGAGCAAAGACTGCCGTAAGAACTCATGAAGGACAAACCGAAAGCTTTCCCATAACTGTAGGATTACATCAAGGCTCATCCTTAAGTCCTTACCTTTTTGCG